GTCTTTTGCCTAGTCGGACAAGCCTGTCATTCGCTCGGGTAGCCCCCCGCGAAGCCAAAGACGAGCATGACAGCGCCTACGACACAAGATGTAAGTGCAGGGCCGCTCGTGAGCCATGCTGGGCTATGCGCTCGCCCAGCAACCGTGACCCATGGCGTTCCCATCGGCCGCGAACAGGCGCTGGCACACAAGGGCGGAAGTACAAGGGCGCGCCACGCGCCTGCCGCCTACGTCGGACCAGCACTGGCGCCATCCGCACCCGTTGAAGCAGCGCGTGCACCCTGGGCGGCTTGCCCGACTAATACAACCGCGAGTGGCAGCCGCTCCAGCTGCTGATATTAGATTTGCGCACCGCGGCAGGGTCCCCAACGTTTGCGCCAACAGCGCTCCGCGCAGGCCGCTCGCTAGCAACAGTAACAGCACTCATCGGTGTAATTTGGGGCCAACAAGACCATATGTTTACGGTGCGTTGCCTTGTCGGCACCAGTCGTAGTTGTAGCGGAGGCACTCGCGACAGCAGTCGTATCAGCAGCAGCGGTACCAGTAGCAGCCGTTGCAGCGTAGTAGAAGCAGCAAGCCGCAGCAGCAGAAGGAGCAACACGATTAGTAATAGTCTCATCAGCAGTAGCCTTCCTATTAGGAGTGGGTTTTATAGTCGCGGCAGCAACGGTTCTATTATAGCACTAGCCGCCGTCGCCGTTGTAGCAGTAGGCGCGGGAGTAGTAGTGGTCGTCGCCAACGCATAGTAGCAGTAGTAGTAGTAGTAGTAGTAGTAGTAGTAGTAGTAGTAGTAGTAGTAGTAGATAGTAGTAGTAGTAGTAGTAGTAGTAGTAGTAGTAGTAGTAGTAGTAGTAGTAGTCGTAGCAGCAGCAGCCGTCGTCGTCCTACTAGTAGTAGTGGTAGCAACAGCAGCAGCCGTCCTCGCCCGACTCGTAGTAGTGGCAGCAGCAGGTGTGGAACCAATATGTGTAGAAGAAGAACAAGTAATGGTAGTAGTAGTAGTAGCGGAAGTATGAGACGTCGTCGTGTGGGACAGTCGTAGTAGCAGTGGTAGCAGTAGAGTTGGAAGTAGGAGCATTGGTAGTAGTAGTAATGACACTAGTAGTAGTAGCAGTTGCAGTAATAGTGGGATTGATTGGTGTAGCCAAACTAGCAGCAGGAGAAATAGGAGCCGTCGTAGTCAAAAACATGACATAAGTAGTCGCATGTACCAGTTGTAGACGTAGTCGGGGTAGCAGTCGCAGTCGCGACAGTAATGGCAGTAACACAGGGGAGCTGCTGCAATTGATCCACACTTTGTATTCCGACGGGCGCAGTTGATGCAGAAGAAGTAGCAGGTGTGACAGGAACCGCAGTACCAGCAACAAAGGTGATAGTCGCAGTCTGCGTAGCAGTAGGTGTGGCACTCGCACCAGTGGGCCGTTATAGTGGCAGTAGCTGAAGTAGTGGCATCAGTTGCAGAAGCACCACTCACATCAGTTGCGGCGGTAATAGCAGTAGCTGCAGATGTAGCAGCACGAGCGCTAAAAGGAATAGTAGAATGAATCGTAGTAGTCGTGCCAGAAGTGGTACAATTGGTGGAAGAAGTACAAGTATACGTAGAAGCACACATGGAAGTAACAGTAAGAGGTCGTAGTGGGAGTAGCAGCAGCCATAGAAGTAACCGCGCTAGTAAACGAAGTAACCGTGAACGTAATCGTTGCAGCCACAGTAGTAGTAGTAGTAGTAGTAGTAGTAGTAGTAGTAGTAGTACTAGTAGTAGTGGTAGTAGTAGTAGTAGTAGTAGTAGTAGTAGTAGTGGTAGTAGTAGTAGTAGTAGTAGTAGTAGTGTATTAGTAATGGTAGTAGTAGTTGTTGTAGTAGTAGTAGTAGTAGCAGTAACAGTAACAGCAGTAGTAGTAGTCGTAGTAGTAGTAGTAGTAGTAGTAGTAGTAGCAGTGGTAGTGGTAGTGGTAGTAGTGGTAGTGGTAGTAGTAGTAGTAGTAGTAGTAGTAGTAGTAGTAGTAGTCGTAGTAGTAGTAATAGTAGTAGTAGTAGTAGTAGTAGTAGTAGTAGTAGTAGTAGTAGTAAGTACGAGTAGTAGTGTTAGGGGTAGCCGTGTTAGTAGCAGTTGCAGTAACAACAATACGTGGTACCACGAGTAGTATGATATGACTACTGTTAATGATACCACAACTACACCCACAACTACAACAACGACTGCTATTACTACTACGACGAATACTATGACTACTACTGCTCTTACTACTACTACACCGACGGCGGCTGCTTCTTCTACTGTGCTGCTACTGGTACTACCACTCCACTACTACTACTACTACCACAACTGCTAACTACTACCGCTATTACTGCTACTACTACAGCTACTACTGCTACTACAGCTACTGCGCTTCAGTTTGCTCCTACTACTATTGCTATTGCTGTTACGACCACTGTTGCTATGGTTGATGCTACTGGTGCGGCTGCTCGTACTGCTACAATGTATGCGACTAGTTCGGCGACGGGTGTTACTGCGACTACCTACGCCACCAAGAAAGGCGGGTAGTAGTCATGCTTATGGTTGCTACAAGGGTTACCTCTACTACTACCGCTGCCGCTGTTACTACTACTGGTGCGACTGGTATTCCGACTATTGCTACTGCTACTGCAATTATTACGGCTACAACCACCACCACCGCCATTACCAAACGTATTATTGCTACTACTACTACTATTACTATGACTATTACTACTACTACTACTACTACTACTACTACTACTACTATTACTACTACTACTACGACTACTACTAGTAGTACCGCTACTCCTACTCCTACTACTACTACTACTACTACTACTACTACTACTACTACGGCTACTACTGCTACTACGGTTATGTGTTCTACTACTACTACTACTACTACTACTACTGCCACTACTACTACTACTACTACTACTACTACTACTACTACTACTACTACTACTACTACTACTACTACTACTACGACTATTACCACTACTACCACTACTACTACTACTACTACTACTACTACTGCTGCTGTTACTGCTACTACCCCGACTACCACTACTACTATTTGTACGGGTACTCATACTACTCATACTGCTACTACTACTACTACTACTACTACTACTGCTGCTACTACTACTACTACTGCTACGACTACTACTACTACTACTCGTATTAATTATCCTTCTGCTGTTACCACTTCGATTACTAATGCTAGCGCTGCGGCTACACTATGCACTATTACTACGAATGCTACCAGTAATGCGAGTGCCGCTGCTGCGGCTACTACTATTACCGTTACTGCTACTACTACGAATACTACTACCACTGCTAACACTGCTACTGATACTGTATAATGTTACTGCTACTACTGCCACTACCCATGATGCATTGAAGCTGATATCTTTACTTCTGCTTTGCACAAGTACATGTTTACAAATACGTAAGCGCACTCTGTAAACTAGACCCCTGCACTACCTGTCATGATGGCACCTGTACTGCTACAGAAGTACTACGATTTGAATGGTTGATGCTGCTGATCCTGACTAATACTAATACTACTGCTGCTATTGTTACCCCTGCTGTTATTACTACTGCTACTATGGCTGCTACAACTGCGACTGATGATTCCGGCATGCGCTCCTGCTACTACTAGTGTTACTGTTGCTGATCTTGCAATTGTCAGTGTTGCGTCTACTGTTACGGCTATTGTTACTACTACTACTACTACTACCACTACTACTACTACTACTACTACTACTGCTGCTCTGTTACTACTACTGTTAATCATATTTCCACTTCTACTTATTCTTCTACTTCTACGTATACGTATACGTGTACCACTACTGCTGCCACTACGAATGCTACTATTGTTGTTGCTGCTGCTGCTGTTTCTGATATGCTGCTGCTGCCTGTCTTATTACCACGACTACGACTACGGCAGCTACTACGACGACGGCTGCGACTACGAGGACGACAACGACGACTACCACGACTACGACTACGACTACGACGTCTACGACGGCGATGACAGAGACGACGACGGACTACGATTACGACCCTCATTTCTCTCCTCGTCCTTTCCCTTCCTCCCCCTCCTCTCGCCAGCACGCTCGCGGAGCAAGCGCGCTGCGGGGGCCTCGAAGTTGTTGAGGTCGGGGCGGCAAGGGGGGGGCGGCAGAGGGCGGCGGATCCTCCATCATCCTGGTTCCTCCTCCTCTTCCTCCTTCTTCCCTGCCCCCTCCACCATCTCCTCCCTCCCGTTTGGTTTCGTGTCCTGTCCTTCTCTCCTGTTCTGTCCTCCTCTCCTCTCCTCCTTTCCTGCTCCCCCTCTCCTCTCCTCTCCTCTCCTCTTCCTCTACTTTTACCTCTCCCTCTCTTCTCCTCTTCCTCCTCTTCCTCCTCTCAACTCCTCTCCTCTCCTCTCCTCTCCTCTCCTCTCCTCTTCCTCTTACCTGCGTCATCCTATCCCATCTAGCTCTAGTATGCCTTGTGGTTGTTGCCACCGCCGCCCCACCCAGATGTTCTCAACCGACCTCTGAAAAAAATCAACATGCCACACCACATGTTTTGGAAATCACATTGTCAACCCAAACATCGATCCTCCAACCTCTCTTAAAACAAGATGCCGCGTTTCTGACGATGAGGCGGAACGCCACAGTTTCGCTCGAGTGCCCAACGGCAAGGGGGCCTCGAGCACACGCACCGCGCCAGCCACCAAGGACGGGCGGAGACGGGGAAGGACGAGCGGTGTGCGTTGGTCCCAGAAGAGAAGGGAGTTGAGCAGGAAGGAAATTGGCGAGCGGGGAGCGCGGTTGTAAGGTGGGGGGTGGGTACTAAGGCGTTGCCCCCTATCCCCGACCCCTCCCCCTCCCAGGGTCAGGGGGGATGGGGGAGGGGAGTGAAGTGGATGTCACGGTGAAGGTGAGATGGGGATGAATGCAAGATGCCTCGGGATCCTCTGAGTGGTGATGGAGAGTGGGGCGAGGCTGCCCTACCTGGCGGGGCGCTTCGCCGCCCACTGGCCCTTGCCCAGGGCCCGATGCGCAGCAGACAGCTCCTTGCGCTTGGCCGCGTCTGCGCCCGCGGGCGTCTCAGGCACGCTGTACAGCCACCTGAACACCTCCTCGTCTGTCTTCGGGCCGAGGCGCTCAGTCACGCACAGCGAGCAACCGCTGTGGAAGTAGCACGTGATCGTGATAGAGTTCTTCGGCTTGCCGCGCTGGATGCGGCACACCTGGCGGCCGCCGAGGTAGTAGTAGTCCTGTGGCGTCTTCGGCGAGAACTTCTGCCACGGCTTCGACTCCGACGCGTCCGCGTCGTCGTGAGGTGGTGTCTCGCCTTCGCCGCCGTCGAGCTTCGGAGGAGCAGCAGCGTCGGGCTCAGCAGCCGCCTCGCTCACGTGCTCAGCAGCCATCCCGATGAAGTCGGCGTCGCCCTCGTCGTCAGGCTCTGGCTGCTTGACTTCTCGATAGTCATCGGCTGGCGGCGGCATGACTGGCGCCTCCAACTGGGCTGGCATCTCGGAGAACGCATCCTCCATCTCCTCCACGGACGTCACGGACTCCAAGTCATCTGCAAGATCCATCTCGCGCTCCACCTCGTGACCTCCACCTGCAGGCTCGCGACCATCATCGTCAGGCACGCCGTCTGCGCGCACCTCTGGTGGAGCGGCGCTGGGGTCATCAGCATCGGCAATGGCGCCAACTGCTGCGATGCCACTCTCCCTGCCCCTGCCTCGACTGCCCTTGCCTCGGCGACCGCCTCGGCTAGAGCCTCGGCTCGCGCAGCGACCACGACCGCGACCTCGGGCCACGAGCGCGCCCTCGCTGAAGGGGTCGGAAGCGATGATGGTGTCCTTGACCACCTTGTCGGCGTCGACCGTGGCTGCTGCGAAGCTCAAAGGTTTCGTCATCGATGGCTCCCAGAGAATGCCCAACCTCTTGAGGCCAACAATCTTGGATAAGCGCAGACTGCCCCACGCATGGTCGATCTCGTACTCTGCCTCGTAGACCGTCATGCTCTCGAGCTCAGCCACTAGCTTGTCGATCCACACGTCCGACGTCATGGAATCGATAGCCTTGAAGCGCTCCGACACCTTGTTGCTGCGATCGGCGATCCTCACCCAGCAAGGCAGCACCAAGTCCTTCGGGGGGCGAAGGGTAAGGCTAGGATTGATGAGAACACCTCCCCATCTTCAAACAAAACCTGGCCCAAAACAATGTTTTGACACTGGAACAGAGGGTGAGGGATCGGGCGTTCGAAGGACGATCGGCCTCGTGCGTGGGCCTCGTATACCCTGGACGTTCTTAGCCTTACCCTCGCCCCCGAAACCTTTACGGGGGCCGTGCGTTCGCTCGAGCCCACGTCCTCGGACCTCTCGTTGCTCTCGATGACCCAGTTGTTCCAGGTGATGTCGAAAACTCTTGGGTTCCACGTGATGTCGCTCACAATGACGGCACACCTCCAACGACCACCACGAACGCCAGGGCCTTCGACCATGAGCATGGTGTCGCCCTCCTCCGCCTTCTGCGTGCCGATGTACGTCATGTAGCTCATGATCCCCTTCTCCACGAACTCGAACGCGTGGGGTGCCCTCGAAGCCGCGCGGTCGACATTCCTGGCCCCCCTTGGGACTCCCCACAGGTCGACGTTCTTGAAGAGCTCGAAATCGATAGGCTCGTCGACCTGGGCCATCCTTTCCTCAAGCGAATCGTCGAACACCTCCTGGTAGGACGGCCAGCCGTTAGCGGTGATGTAATTGCAGAACTCATCACCCGTGATGGGCAGCGCGTTGCATCCACCACCCCAGATAGGTCTGTAGGTCGGCACTTCCAGGGCCTTGTTCTCGCTGGGGCTTTGTCTCCAAAGGTCGTACGCATCCTTGAGAGCATCCTGGTTGCAGTCGGCGACCATATGCTTGAACGTCTCCGCATGACTGGTGGTCTCGTCCCTGGTGAGCCTGCGCCCTACCACGGCTTTGATCGCCTTCATGTACTTGTTCTTCTCGAGCATGTACGCGCTGAGCCCCTTGCGAGGTGCCTCATCCTTAGTCGGTGACGCTGGCACCTCCTTGCCACGAGATAAGCTCGATGGGTTCGGCCTCCGCGCAAGCACTTCACAACCCCAGTCATCATGCAACCCCTCGAAGTATGCAGACGGCTCCTGAGCAAGACAAATGGCCAACTCCTGATCGTCAGCTTGGCCAGGTTGATGGTCAGGGTCACCATCTTCAAGCGCAGTTAGATCTCCATGCCGTCGTTCACCCCTAAGCCAGTTAGAATGTCGCTTGAGTGAATCTTCCAGCAGAGGCGATGCCATCACGATCTCCTCCTTGACGTCATTGCTGAGGCACCCTGTCTTTAGTGGATGGAGCCCGCCATGCCCACGATGAACTGTGCAGAGCTGCTGTAGGAGATGTTCTCGCTGAGCGTTTGAACTGCTACGACCTTGAGCTCGAACTGGGATCTTCGCCGTGTACTCGCTGTTGAGTCGCTCGATGAAGTCGGTCCCGTACGCATGCTGGCGGAAATCTGCAAAGAGCACTGCGATGCATTCGCTGGAGAGCATCTTCCCCACGGTGTTGAAATGGCTGGTGATGCCCTTGGTGTAGGAGTCCTTCATGTGCCACGGCGCGTTGATGGCATCGTGAGCAATCCTCTGCGCTTCCTCGAGCGACGCCGTGCTGCTGGCCAACGGGTACAAGCGATAAGGGTAAGCCGAGAACCTGGATTCGTACCTCCTGAGCATCACGCTGTTGAGTTTGAGAAGCTGAGAACGTGCAAACCGCGAGAAAGTCTGATCTGTCAAAGGCGCCCCCAGCATGTCGAGAAGGCACCAGGGCTTCCGCGTGGGCAGGCCCATCCACGAGTCTGCCAAATCGAGCATCTTCTGGCTGAACTTGCCTATGGCGGTGTCGCCCTTGTCCAGTAGAATATCCATCTTCGACCGCTGGTCGTCCCTCTTGCTGTTGACAATCGGATCGCCGAGCAGGGGGTACAATAGCGTAGAATCGCCCGCTTCAAATATCCCCACGAACACCATGAGTTCCCAGAAATTTCGCTCATCACCGTAGTAGGCCTTGATCTTCTTCGCCCTCACATTGAACACATGCTTCCAGTAATCCGCATCTGACATGCCATCAACTTCTCGGAGTAGGGGCACCTCCTCTTCGTCAGCATCAACAACACCCCGAGCGTCTGGATGTCCGACGAAGCTGTCGATCCCTATCTTGTAGACCAAACGCCGCAAGAGAGTCCTCTTCATATTCATCAACACATTTGTCCAGCGACTTTCACAAGGCCGAGGGTCCGACGACCCGAATAAAGCATGAACCAGTCCTGTGCACAGTTTGTCGATCGTGTCGGACTTGCCGTTGCAACACGGGCGACCAGTCTGAGGATGACGGCAGTAGTGCTTGATCCTCTCGCCACGCACGTCGCCATTCAGCAAAGGCACCAACGCTTTCAGGTCCTTGATGAACTGGGAGTCATCTGCGCCGCCCTTCCGCAGGTGAAAGTCAGCCGACAAGTCAAACAGAACATCAACCACGAGCTGGAACGTGTACTCGACATCCTCAGGGGGCGGCTGCATGATGCAATCGACGTTGCTCTCGACCAAGAGCTCAACTCCCATGATGTTCCGCTCGAGCTGGGTGCGGTACCTGTTGGCACTGGCGATGGAGAAATGTCTCATCGTATGCTTCTTGACGGCCTTGAGCTTCAGCTTCCCCCTGTGGTGCGCGTGTATGCCACGCGTATCTGGCCAAAAAAAAACAAGTAGTCGATTCTTTGCGCTCCTTCAGGATGTCCTCAGCACACTGACCCCACATTTTGAGGATGCCGAGGTTGGCGCTGGCTCTGTCTGCCATGGGCTGGAACGTGAACGTAGATACAGCAGACGAAGCTGGTGCGCTGCCCTCCGACCACTTCACGATGTTGAGCTCGTCTGGAATGGCCTTCAACAGCCCAGGGTAAATGTGCTTCGCCTTCTGGCCTTGCAGCTCGAACGGCTTTGCGATCATGTACTCGATGAAGTGGCCTTGGATGTCCGACTATCTGTTGAGGAGCGTGAACTGCGCCGTCGATCTCTGGATGAGCGTTGGCTGCGCCACGTTCTTTCTCATGACGCGGTAGCGCTTCCCAGGCTTCCATGCTTGTCGCACTTCAACTTCATCCCATAGATGTCCGAAACCCAGGTGTACGAAACGGTGATCGCGAGTATCGGCATCTGTAATAGAATCACGGCTTCTCTTGAGACTGTCCCTGAAACCTTGCAGTTGTCTGGTGACCGCGATGTCGCAAGCAGCCTTCATCAAGCGACGATGGTCCACTCCAATGGCGCACTGCTTCTTGGAAGGTAAAAAGCACGCCCTCGATGCAATCACGAAGTCGTCGCTGGTCAAGTGTCGCTTGAGCTTCCCGAGCGTCGTCGACGACTTGTTCCCAATGAGCTGTGATACACCCGGAACCAACGCCACGCTCTTGAGCTTCATATCGTGTTCCGCTTTCTGCTTCGCCAGCTGGCCCCTCAGCTTCTGCGCGTGTTTTTTGGCCTTGCCCTCCCGAGCCTGCGCTGCGTGAGCATGAGACCGCTGCGAGTGCTTCGACTTCTCTGGAGGCGAGTCGTCGATCTCGATGACCCCGAGCGCTAGCACGTCGCACAGCTCAACTGGCCCTGGCGGAACCTGCTGCTCAACTGGCCCTGGACGCAATGGAACCTGCTGCTCAACTGGCCCTGGTAGAACTGGCTGCTCAACTGGCCCTCGCGACGATGGAACCTGCTGCTCAACTGACCCTGGCGACAAAGGAACCTGCTGCTCAATCGGCCCTGGCGGCGATGGAACCTGCTGGGCTGCCACATGAACTGGTGTCCGTGGAGCCACCTCGCCGCCATCGCTCGAATCGTCGATGGTCCCGATGTCGGCCAGCATGTCGCTCAGGTGCTCCATGCCAGCCTCAACGTGGAAAGCCTCGACCACGGGCACCCGCAAGCCAGAGGCACGAACGATATGGAAGGCGGCGGTGGCAACCACCGCGAATATGGAAGCTGATTGCATCATCGATGCTCTCATTCTGAGAGAAACAACTTGGCCAAAATGGCTATCACGATGCTGATGGCGATGTTTGGGGGGATGATGCGCAGTGATGGCTATAGGTTTCCTATCTACGCGGGGTTTTGGTTGGGGGATAATGGTTTGGGGTAGTGACGGCCACTTGTGGGCTTGTTTTAATGGTGGTGATGGTGGGGGTCTCTGGATAAGGCCATGTTCCCCAAACAGTGCTTTCGACATGTTGCGCAATTGCGCGTTCTAGTGGCGACGCCTTGCGCACCGAACCACCTTAACTCATCTGTTTGGGGTCCACGCTGCACGAATCCTGATCTGAACCGCACGTGCGGCGAGAACGGCACACTACAATGAAAAGACTCAAGATGCGCAACAAACAGCATCGGTCTCGGCACCGTTCTCAGGAAGAGGGGCACAGTCAGAGAGCGCCAAAGCAGACGACGAGTGGGACGATGATATAGGCAGGAGAGACAGGGAGGGAGGACCAGGGGCCAAGAGGTAGATAGAGGGGGCAGAGAATAGGGCGGAGAGTAAACAAGTGCGATCCGCGCTTCGCTTCCAAATTGGGGTGGTCAACTTGATGGGTGGGCCTCCACGCGGGCGAGGTAATGTCGGTCGTGGCAAACTGCCCGCCTGCACCTCATCTGACATCTACTCCTCCCACATGTTTGAATAAGGACAACTTCGGGGGACGCCGAGATGGCTTCAAGATAACCTCTGGCAGATACATTCTGGATCCATCACCGACGGGGCGCCTTACTTTCGACTTGAAGAACTAACGTGTTTCACGCTTCGGGAGTTGAAAGGGGGAGTTGAATACTACATTCAACTCTCTCGGGTCTTGGGGATTTCGCAGTTCTGCAGAGGAGGCCCATCTCTGAGGAACCCACGCAGCCAACTTCAGAGGCCTCACAGAAACATGCCGCGTGGCCCACAGAAGCACCCAAGCCGCCCCGAACTCACGACCCAGGTCAGGGGTTTATTTACTGCCATGGGCGGGGCGGCGGGATGCGAACGTTGGCTCTGGACCCGTCGGTGGAGCTCCCTGTTGATACGATTCGTGTGAGGAGACAGTCGACATACGCGTGGGGGGGGACGTGACGTCCTGCGAATCCCCACACTAAGGCCGCACGTGAAACGACATCCCTCTGGGGCGCGATTCGTGTGTTGGGTGTGCCGAGATGGGCGGAGCGACGCCGAGCGAAACTTGTCCCTGGACCCGAAAGAGGAGCTCCAAGGGAGACAAGATCCGTGTGAGTGCCGTGCCGAAATTGACGGGGGGGCGCCATGTAAACCCCGCCTTCATCTGGGGCCGTAGGTCTCGCTTCCATCCGCATGATCGGTACTTTTTCACCTCGAGCTCAAGCCAGTTGTGGGTCACTGCTTCAGTGGAGCTGTGACCTTCTCAAGGGATGGGGCTGTTGAGAACGCCCTTCTTGGGGCTCATTGTGCGCCTCTGCGTTTTTTGTCGCGCTGAGGAGGCACTTCCTTGGACCCTCTCTTTCTGTCGTTATCCTCGGGCTTTCTTGGGGCGCCTCTTGGGGCCCTCCTGTGCTTCGTTCTGGAGCCTGCTTGGAGCTCTTTCGGGGCCACGCTTGGGCCCCCCTTAGCCTCTCTCGGAGAACTCATTGGATGTTCTTGCGTGCCCTTTGACCCTGTCTTGGGCTCCCCTTGGGGTCCTCTTGGGCTCTTCCCAGGGCGGCTCGTCCCTGGGATCTCTGAGTTTCGTGACGCCTCGGACTCTCTCGGTCTTTTGTCTTATCGTGCATTGTATTGCATTGCATTGCACTGGGCTATTTTCCGTTGCATGTGCAATTGCATTGTTTCGTGATCCACATTGCACTTATGAGCATCGCTTTCCTTTGCTTTGCATTGCATTTATAGCCTTGCATGTGTTTGGCTTAACTGGCTTGCATAGCTTCGAATTGAATACTGGAGAGGCCTTACTGCCGGTGCCGCCGACCCTGAACGACGACGGCGGCGGCGACGACGACGATGACCAAGGGGGGTCGCTCCCCCCTGTGGAGGGGGGGGCTGGCCCGTGGGGGGGGCTCCCTCCTGTGGACAGGGGGAGTATGGGACGCTTGGAAGGGGGGGCAAAGCGGGGACGCTGGGGGGAAGAGAGGAGAGGCTCTCTCCCCCCGGTTCTTGGGGGGGTCCCGGGGACCCTCCGCCACATATTCGGGATCGGCAAAACAATGACAGGAGCCCCACGGGCCCCAGGGTACCCCCCGGGACCACCCCCCAGGACCACCCCCCGAGACCACCCGCCGGGACCCCCCGGGAGTTGCCCCGGGACACCCTCCCCGCTGGGGAAGGGATCAAGTGAAGGTGCTTCCCTTCGTTGTTCGATTCGATTTCGTATTGGCTGGATCGGTTGAGGAAGAGGGCCTGGGGAAAGGGGGAAGATGGCGAGGGCGACGACGACGACAACGACGACGGCGACGGCGACGACGACACCGACGACGACAAACGGAAGAGCGCCTCACACACGCCGACAGGGTCGGCGTATTATGGAGCATATGCCATTGTCGGTGCTTGGGTTCTGTTCGGCCAGCATTATGGATGCTTCTTGCACCTCATGCTTACACCATCAATGGGTAATCACTTCAGTGGATACGCGAAGCGCGCGCGCGTGGTTCTAGTATATATGTATATATATACATATATATATATATTGCGTGAGTCGCGAGGAGGTCTCAAGCGATAGCGCGATTCCCAAGTGAATCGCGAGAAATACCACAGCGAAAGCGTGGTTGCTGAGGGTCGAGGACGCGGCGCTTTAATACATCGAACGGAAGTCAGTCCCATGCGAGAGCGCGATGCCTGTATAAAGTGTGAGGAAGTCCCGCGCGAGACCATCATTTTCAATACGTGGTGATGAAATATAAGGCGAGAGCCTTTCTTGTAGTTCGTGACCCTGTAACGCAGTTTGATGACCTCACAGGCTCTACAAAAGCAAAGTACGAGTCCCGGGAGGAGCGCTGGAGGTGAGAAATGCCATGGTCACCGGGCATTGGGGATCAACAGACACTACTGTTAAGCAATGAGATGTCAACAACAACAATAACAACACGCATTTTAAGATTGATCGTTTTGATCTGCTCGCATGCCAGTCAACACGTATACCCCAAACCCTCGATACCTGCTTTTTTTCCTTCGATCATACCTCGTTCGGGGTATATATCCCTTACATGCAACATGTATTTCGTGCAGCCCCTAAGGCAAGTGAAGGGAGGACAAAAGGAAGGAAGGGACAAGAGGAAGGGAGGATCACGGAGCACGAGAGAGATTCGCAGGACGGGGGGTTGAAGCCTGCAGACCCTAGAGGGCGGACTGGGGTTGCGGGCCCAGGAGGCGAGGTCGAGAAGGCGGGTTGCTGAGTCGTGCGTCCTGCATGAGTCGCGAGGAACATTTTCAACAACAATGCGATTCAAGTCGATCGTGAGAAGCCACAAAGCAAGAGCGTGATTCCGGAGTGCCGAGGGCGCGGCGTCTGAATTGTTGACAGGAAGTCCCACGCGGAAGCATGATGCCTGCAGATGGTGCGAGGAAGTCCCACGTGAGAGTGCAAATGTTCAATCATGTGTAAGGGAATGTCCGGCGGGATCCGAGGCTGTTGTGAACCAGGGGCCAGCAAAACAGTTTGGTGACACTAAACATTCCGTGGTAATAAGCCGGGCGCAAGACTTGAAGCTTGGAGGGGCAGTTCAAGTTAAAGCTAACAGTGGTCACCGCCGGGGTGATCAATAAGAATGGTTCACATCACCCCGACCAACGCCCGGTCGCCGCCCGGTCGCCGCCCGACCGCCGCCCGACCAAGTCTACTCAGAGATGGTTTTCCTTCTGGGTGCGGCCTCTCAGGCTCCCCAGAGCGCGCTCAGAGTGCCCCAAGAGGCCCCCAAGACTGCCCAAGAGGCCCCCGAGACGCCCAAAGAGCGCTCGAAGACGCCGAAGATGACCCCAAGACGGCCCAAAAGGCCCCCAAGACAGCCCAAGAGGCCTCCAAGACGCCCCAAGAGCCTTCCAAGAGGCCTCCGAAGAGAGCCCCAAGAGGCCAAAATCGTTGATTTTCATTTGTTTTTTCAATGTTTTTTGTGTTCTGGCTTTTTCGGCTTCCGGACGCTCCAAGACGGCCCAAGAGGCCCCCAAGACCGCTCCAAGACGGCCCACGAAGCTCCCAAGACGGCGCCGAAACGACCCAAGAGAGCCCTCAAGACGGCCCAAGTGCCGCCCAAGACGGACCAAGAGGCCCCAAGACGGGCCCAAGAGGGACTCAGGAGGGATACCGAGAACTCAAAAATGGAGCCCTCCGTCCCAGAAGGCGCCCAGGAGGTCCCAAAGAGGCCCCAAGAGGCCTCCAAGAGGCCCCAAGATGTCGCCAAGAGGCCCCAGGAGACTCCCAGGAGGCCCAAAAGAAGCCCCAGAAGGCTTCAAACATGTCTCCCAGGCGCCCCCGAACGGCCTCTCAACAGACCCCAAGAGGCCCCCCAAAGAAGCATCTTGACGACGACTCTATTTCGCCCCATCGAGAGACGACCCCCAGGGAACTGCTTCACCATCAAAACTCCCCACGCAACGCGTCCGAACGACACCCACCCCCAAGAGCGCAACATGGGCAACGAACACACAGACAAAAACCAGCGATGCCATATCACGGGCCAGCGGAATGAGCGAAGCGATTCAATAATAATGGTTCACATCAGTGATATTTCAACAACAACAACAACAAAGACAACAACAGCAGCAGCAACGACAACAATCATGTGATCGAATGCGTGATTATTCTTTTTGCAGTAAGCATAAATCACGATATATCCCAAGGGATTTTCTTGCGGGGTATTTTTTCATTTCCCCGATGTCCCGCCCGACGAGGTCTTGACAACACCTGGCCACCTCAACATTTCCAGCCCCGATGGCACATTGCTTTCGCCATCGCCAACCCTGCCCACGCCTTGCTTCAAGAGGCCACGCCTGAGCTCCCGGAAACC